GAAGAGTCACTACAGCTTAGTTGTCTCCCCCTCCTTTGTCCTCCTGATTCCCCTCCCTTTCCCCTCCAGAGAGAACAGTTAAACAGTCTGATGGCGTGTGGCACAAAGGAGTTTTTAAGTCTGTTGGTTCTTGTCTTTGGGAGAAGCAACCTGTCACTGAACAGACTCCTCTGGTTGTTTATGGCCGTGTGCAAAGGATGCCCAGCATTGTCCATAATGTCCAGCAATTATTTTAGTGTCATTTTCTCTGTGGTCCAGCTTCGTGCCGACCACAGAGCCAGCCTTCCTGATCAGCACTGTGCTTCATCAAAGTCTTTATAGAGGAAGGCCTCTTCACTAGGCACATACTTTGCCTCGAGGTACTTATGTGGGCAGTCAATGCATCTAAATTTGTCTTTCAGATTTCTCTTAAAGACTGTCTGCAGTTTCTCTCTTATTTTGCCTTGGGCTTCATTTAATGTTCTTCTCAGTTTGTCCTTTAGCGCCCTCAGGCTGTCTTTCTCTGCAACAACAAAACACATGGGCTACAGAGGAAACAATTCAAAGGAGTCTTCAACTGGCATGGCTTCATGTCAGTGTTAGTGAACCAGCTTTGCAGTTGAGTGCAAGCCTTGCGAGTCCAAGCCCATCCAAAAATGCCTCTTCAGCTGAATGCTATTCTGATGTGCTTTTATGCTACAAATACAATTAAATCTTAAAGTCTGACAATGAAAGTCTTAAACACCCACACTGCCAATAAATCAGCGCAGTTACAACAAGGCTCAAGCTAATAATTCTGTTTAAAGTATATATTATGGTATCCACAGTGATAAAGATAAAGCATGATTGTGGATATTAGCCCACCACTGAAGCTCAGCAGCTAAGACTTGCATTTACCTTGCTGGTTCTGATCCTACTTTGGAGTGAAAAAGCAGCCATTCAATCAAAACATTAAAAGCAAATGTTTGCAGTTTGGTATTTCTGGCTATAGCTCATTAAGTGCACCACACATTTATGGGGCTAATATAAATACCAGTTCTGGACATGATTTAGAGGAGACTGCTTATTCTTAAATGTCTTGTGTATTCTGTCAAATAGTTTAATTGTGTTTAGTTTATTAAAAATTTTAATAAACCACATAATTAGGCACTCCTCTTCAGCTGCTCCTTAAAATCACATGGCAGCACCTCGATACATTGAGGCGTGTAAACATGGTCAAAAACACCTGCTGAAGCTCAAATCCAACATCAGAGTGGAGAAAAAAAAGATTATTTAAGTGACTTTAAACACCTTGTTGAGGTCAGAGGAGAATAGCCAGACTGACTGCTTTAGGCTGATAGGAACAACAGCAAGTCGAAAAACCAACTGTTACAACTAATGTATGCAGAAGGGCATCTTTCAAAGCAGATGGGCTACAGCAGCAGAAGAGCACGCTGGGTCTGTCAGCTTTGCAGGCACGTGCAGAGGGGGGGGCTAGAGGGGCTTGAGCACCCGCCCCTTTCCTGATGGGTGCCCAAAGTGCCCTTTTGTTGAGGCAACTTTAAAAAAAA